GGGAAGTTTCTGCCTTAAATGGCTTCTGTCACACCAAGCACCCTTACCTAGAATTTTCTCTGCCCTTCTTTTCAGGGCTCTGAGTCAGAGCCTCGCTCGGCCTTACCAGCCCAAACCTTCTCCCCGAGTCAGCCCGGGCGGGCGGCTCTCGGCTGGCCGGGAAGGCGCTGGGGATTCTTGGCGGCGAGGGTGGGAGAAGACGGGTCCCCTGCGAATGGATACAGAACCCACGGTACCCGGGCCGAGCAGACCCGAGCCGGGCTGGTTGAATAGACGCCGAGAGAGAGCCGCGTCTCCTTAGTGGCGCCGAGCACCCGGCCTGGCACCAGCTAGTCCCAGAGAAGCTGCCGCTTTGTCTCCCACACCCATACCCCCTCCAGGGAGATGGGCATCCACGTCCAGTAGACAAAGCGTACTCGTGCTTGGGCGTATTCCAGAGGGGCGGTCGGGGGGAGATCCCGGCCAATGACCAGGGCCGCCGCACCACGCCCAGGTGTGTGGCTTTCACTGACACTTAGCTGTAGGTCGGCGATGCAGCCAAGAGCCAGGCGGCCCTGAGCCCCCCAAAACACGGTTTTCGACGCCAAGCGCAGGATTGAGCGCAAGTTCACAGATGCGACTGTTCAATCGGACTTGAAGCACTGGACCTTCCATGTGGTGAGCAAGGGCGACAAGCCCAAGGGTCCGTGTGTCCTTCCGCAGGGAGGACAAGACGGTCCACCCCGATGAGATTTCGTCCATGGTGCTGAGCAAGATGAAGGAGATAGCTGAGGCGTACCTGGGCCAGCCTGTGAGGCATGCGGTGATCACGGTGCCTGCCTACTTCAGTGAGTTGCAGCGCCAGGCTATGAAGGACACAGGTGCCATCACAGGGTTCAATGTACCTTAAGGTTCATCAACTAGCCCACAGTGGTCGCCATTGCCTATGGGCTAGACTGGAGCGGTGCCGCAATGTGCTCATTTTTGACCTGGGTGGGGGCAGTTTTGATGTTCGGTACTCTCTATTGACGCAGATGTCTTTAAGGTGAATGCCAAGAGACACCGACATAAGCGGAGAGGTCTTTGACAACCAGATGGTGAGCCACTTCATGGAGGAGTTTTGGAGGAAGCGCAGGAAAGACATGAGCGGGAACAAGCAGGCCCTGCTGTGAGCGTGCCAAGCGCAGCTTGTCCTCCAGCACTCAAGCCACCCTGAAAATCGACTCCTTGTTCAAGGGTATGGACTTCTAGGCTACCATCACTTGTGCCCGCTTTGAGAACTGTTCAGACCTCTTCTGCAGCACCCTGGAGCTTGTGGAGAAGGCCCTGAGGGATGCCACGCTGGACAAGGCCCAGATCCATGATGTCTTCCTGGTGGGGGCTCCACCCACATCCCTAAGGTACAGAAGCTGCTGCAGGACTTCTTCAACGGCAGGGAGCTGAACAAGAGCATCAACCCTGATAAGGCTGTGGTCTATGGGGCTACTGTACAGGGGGATGAGTGGGGGATGAGTGTGAGAAGGTGCCAGATCTCCTGCCCCTAGGACTGGAGACGGCAGGTGAGATGATGACTATGCTGATCCAGAGGAATGCCACTATACCCACCAAGCAGACCCAGACCTTCAGCACTTACTGTGACAACTAACCTGGGATCTTGATCCAGGTGTATGAATGAGGGCGAGAGGGCCATGACCAGGGACAACAACATGCTGGGGCACTTTGAACTCTGTAGCATCCCTCCTGCCCCACGTGGAGTCCCTCAGATTGAAGTGACCTTTGATATTGATGTTAATGGCATCTTGAGTGTGATGGCCATTGACAGGAGCACTGGTAAGGCCAACAAGATGACTGTCACCAATGACAAGGGCTAACTAAGCAAGGAGGAGGTGGGAAGGATCTTTGGTGAGCCTGAATGGCACAAGGCTGAGAATGAGGCCCAGAGGGACAGGGTGGCTGCCCCAAACTCACTGGATGCCTGTGTCTTCCATGTGAAGGGCAAGAGGAAAGTGTTAAGGACAAGATTCCTGAAGAGGACAGGCACAAAGTGCAAGAAAGTGTTGGGAAGTCCTTGCCTGGCTTAAGCACAACCAGTTGGCAGAGAAGGAGGAGTATGAACATCAGAAGAGGGAGCTGGAGAAAATTTGTTGCCCCATCTTCTCCAGGTTTTATGGGGGGGCGGTTCTGGAATCCCTAGGGGCAGCAGTTGTGCGACTCAAGTCTGCGAAGGAAACCCCAGTACTGGTCCCATCATTGATTTGCCCCTCATGATAAGACACATGTGACCGTAAGGGCTGTGCTTGTGGGCCTTCTAGACTTCTACGATCCTGCCCTATAATTTCAGGGATGGGGTCTGGGAGTCTTTTCCCCACAGCTGGAGTTTTATAACTGAGGTCTTTGTCACTTGCCTTTTCTTTTTCTTTAATTCTCTTCTCCCACTTTAAACAAGAAATCATTAATTTATTAATATTAACATTTGTGTGGCACTTTAGTATTGCTTCACCTACAGTTTGTATATTTTGTTACTTGTATATATGAATTTTGCTATGTGAAGTATAGCTCAATATTTGAATAAATTCTTCTTGGTTTTCATTCTAACCAATTAAGCACACAATGGGAATAGGCTTTCAGAAGCAGAAAATATTAGGGCAGGTGCTGAAGCACACAGGTCTGGGTGAATGATTTCTACAGGGAGAAGAAGGGAAAGAGAAGACTTTGAAGTTGGCACACTCAAACAGTCCTAAAGTGTGAGGGCTGACAGAGGGGAAAGGATTGTGACTTATTGTGCAGGAGGAGGGAGGGAAGGTGGAAGAAGGAATTGGAATGGGGAGAAACTTAAGTATTGGCAAGGTTCCCATGTGCGATCCTACAATAAAAATTCTATATTGGGAGCCTAGTTTAGTTTGTCAGTCTTACGTGTCCTAAAAACTTTAACAAAACAGTTCACATGCTCATTAGCTATTTTCAGTCATGTCACTTTATCCATTGTTCTTTCAGAGGAAAGGTCCCAAGTCCTGGACTTTGGGGAATGGTTTGTAGGGGGAGTAGGTTTGGTGGTATGAGCAAAATTACTATTGACTTTACCTATACAAGAGAAACAGCATGGTCTATCTGGTTTATGCTGATGAGTCTAAGGGTTATTATTATTAAAGCAGAGCATAATGGCTATAACAGAACAAGACTCCATAGATTTTCAGCTCTGCTGCTTTATATACTGTGCACATTAACCCTGAATTTCAATTTCTCCTTCCCCATAGTGGCGATGATGAAAATAGTACTGGTTTTGGAATTGAGGGTTTAATTAAATAATATATGTAAGATGCAAAGAAGAATGTTAAGCATAAAATGTACTATCAACAAATAATAGCTATTATTGATTATTATTAGTTGAGTGTCAACTATGTACCCAGTACTTGACATACATAATCTAATTTACTCCTCATAGCACCATCACAGGGTATTACCCTCTTTTGGAAGATGAGCATTCTAAAGTTCAAATAAGTTAAACAATTTACTCAGGGTCACATAGCTATTAAGTGGGGACAACAGGGGGAGGAGTAAAGGTGGCCAACTAGAAACAGTTTTTGCCAGAGTCTCCTGTTCACAGGGAGAGATAATTGGACTATAGTGGACTGTGAAGCTGAAGGAGGGGAGCTGAGCATGGAAAGAAAGAAAGAGAGGTATACATCATCCTTGCTACGACAAGCTGCCAGTCCAAGAAAGAAGAAAGACAACAAAGACCAGGTATGAAGCCCATTGCCAATAGGATGGAAGACCCCTCCCCCAAGTGGGAGGTCCATGGAGGACTTTCTGCAAGCCAATAGGGAACAAAGGACCTCTCATATTTCCCCATGGGAGAGAGCTGTTAAACCCCAGACTTCTTCCTTCAGGGAGGTGACACCTCTGAGCCTAGGCATCATCCTGTGTGGCACAAAAGTGAACAAATACTTTCTCCTCAATTCTGAACACACAGTTCATCCTTCTCCCCTACCCTGGCTGCCTGAAAGCCTGCCCCCTGCAGAGCCTGGAGTGTTTGATGAATTTTCTGAGAGTCCTGGGCATTGTTTGGGCTGCCAGCCAGTGGCACAGAAAGGTGGCAGTGTAGAAATAGGGGGCACAGGGAGGTAGGGGCACATTTAGAAACAGTGGCACCCATGGAGTCAGTAGCATACGGAGGCAGTGATGCCCCAGTTCTGACTTTGGTGGGGGAAATTTCCTGACTCCCTTTCCCACTGCTCCAGCCCCTTGGGAATTTGCATGGCATCTGCCTGCAGATTTCTGTTTTCTAGTCATATGGCAGCTTTTTGAACTCTTTCAAGCAAGTCCCAGGAATATTTGTAAGACAATCTGATTGGAACTTTTGACTTGAGTTGTCTACTCTGTGACCTTATGAAGTTTAACAGGGGTGGTATTGCAGCAGAGAGGGGCAGATTCTCCTCCTCCAGCTATCACCAGTGGGGGAGGGGGAAGGGTGGGCTCCCATAGGGGTTTGTATCTTTCCCCAGCTAAGATTCCAGGATAATACCTCAACTCCTTAGAATTGGGTAGAGGCAGACTGACCTCAAGATAGAGCCAGCTTGTTATCTCACCAACTCAGCCCTCAGCGTCTCTGGCTGCATCTCTGAAATGAACTCTTGCAAGGCTATAGGGGAAAAGCCACAATCAGAAGGTCCAGCTCATTGGAGAAGGGGTGGTTATCTACACTTCCTTGGCCCTGATCCAGTCTCACCCCACCAGATTTAATTGCCAAATAGCAGAAAATACTCATGGGGAGGAACCAGCAGAAGAACTCTGGCAACAGGAGAAACCAGAGCAGATAATCTCCTCTGAGGGATGACAAAGGAGATACAACAGAAAATATAATGTATAGAGAAATTGCTGAAGTGACAGAAATATAATTCAGAATATGGATGGCAAATAAGATGAATAGAATAGAAGAAAAAATGGAATATCCAAAAAGTAGTTCAAAAAAGCTACCTCAAGAAGTTAATGAATTCAAAGACAAAGTCACCAAGGATATGGACATAATGAGAAAAGATATAGCAGAGTTTAAGGAACTGAAAAAGTCATTTCACAAGTTTCTAAATACAGTAGAGATTCTCATTAATAAAGTTGAATAGGGAAGAAGAAAGGATCTTAGAAATTGAAGATAAGTCTCTTGAACTATCCCATGCTTCCAAAGAGGCAGAAAAAAAGGAAAACAAGAATAGAATATTCCTTGAGAGAGTTGTGTGATCATTACAAAAGATCAAACATCTGGATTATAGGGATTCCTGGAGGAGGAGAGGATGGTCCTAAAAGGAAAGATGTTCTACTCCAAACCATTATGGTGGGGAATTTTCTAAGCATTGCAAGAGATATAGAAATTCAGATAATAGATAGTTTCAGAACCCCAGCACAATTCAATCCAAATAAAGCATCTCCTAGACACATTATAATTAACTTTGCCAAAGTTAATATGAAGGAGAAAATCCTGAAAGCACCAGGCATAAGAAATGTATTACCTACAAAGGGAAACATATCAGGAGGACTGCTGATCTTTCAGCTGAAACTTCTCAAGTCAGAAAAGGATGGTCACTGACCTTTATCCTTCTAAAACAAAACAACTTTCAGCCCAGGATCCTGTATCCAGCAAAACTGAATTGCATTTGTGATAAAGAAATAAAATACTTTATGGACATCCATATGTTAAGGAAATTTGCCATAACTAGACCAGCTCCCTAGGAAACACTCAGATCCATTTTGTATAATGACCAGCACAATGGTCTACCACCAAAGTAAATTCACCCAGAATTTAAAGAATAAAAGCTAACTTCCATGATGGTGAAAGGGTTAAAAATATAAACTGGACCTTTGGAAAAAAAAAATATGACCAAAATGCTACCATACCCATCAATTCTCTCAATGTGAATGGTTTAAATTCTCCTCCAAAGAGGCACAGGTTGGCTGACTGGATACAAAAACTCAGGCCAGGTATCTGTTGCCTCTAACAGAGGCAAAATTCACCTCAAAGGATAAGACAAGATTCAGAGTGAAGGCATGGGCAATGGCATTCTAGGCAAATGGAAAGCAGAAAAAAGCTGGAGTCGCAATCTTATTTGCAGATATAATTGGATTTAAACTAACAAAAATAAGGAAAGACAGGGGTGGACACTACATATTTGTCAAGGTAAGCACTCAACATGAAGAGATTTCATTTATGTATCTTACCTGAATTCTTCTTGATTTATAAAACAAACCCTAACTGATATGGACAAAATGATATCTTTCTGTACTATAATAGTTGGAGATTTTAACACCCTTTGGCAGTTCTGGATAGATCTTTCAAGAAGAAACTAAACAAAGAAATAATGGACTTATACTTGATCCTAGATCAAATGAACTTAACAGATATATACAGAACATTTCATCCTAACAAAACTGAATACACATTCTTCTCGTCAGCCCATGGATCATCTCTAAAATTTATCCTATCTTAGGACACAAGTCTAACCTCAACAAATATGAAAGAATAGAAATTATTCCTTGTATCTTCTTGGACCATCACCAAATAAAAGTTGAACTCAATAGCAATAGAAATCTTTATATTCAAACATGTCATGGAAACTAAATAACATTATGGAAACTAAATTACCTTGTATCTGGGTCAAAGATGAGATTAATAAGGAAATTGTCATATTTATGGAATAAAATGACAATGAAGACACAAACTATCAAAACCTATAGGATACTGCAAAGGCAGTCCTAAGAGAGAAATTTATAGCATTAGAAGCCTTCATTAATAAAACAGCAAGAGAGTAAGTCAGCAACCTAAGGGGACATCTCAAACAACTGGAAAAGGAAGAACAATTCAACCCCGAGCCTAGCAGAAGAAAAGAAATAATCAAAATTGGAGCAGAATTAAATGAAATTGAAAACAAAAGAATCATTTGGAAGATCAATGAAACAAAAAGTTGGTTATTTGAAAAGATTAATAAAATTGATAAACTTTGGCTAGACTAACCAGAAACAGAAAAGTAAGATCTCTAATAACTTCAATCAGGAATGATAAAGGAGAAATAACAACAGATACCACAGAAGTAAAAAAGATCTTCAATGATTACTATTAAAAAACTCTATTCTCAGAAATATGAAAATGTAGAGGAAATTGACCAATACCTAAAAGCATGCCACCTTCCTAAACTCAACCAGAAAGAATTAGAAATTTTGAACAGATCCATATCAAGCACTGAAATAGCATCAACTATACAAAATCCCTCCTCCAAAAACAAACAAACAAACAAAA